CATCACCAGATACCAGTGACCCTCACTACAGGCGCCCGTGGACTCCAAGCACCGTAATACCTTCATTTAAATTTAAATGCCAGTAAATCCGAGCCGCGGCCGCGACATGCCACTCATTGTTGTGCTAAATATCACCGCTTTAAAACGACTTAGTTTATTTAAAACAGGGATTTGATACACAAGTCACTAAGAACACAATTACTTACAGATCCCTCCCTGAATACGAGGAGACATTACAAATATGTTAAACATATGAATTAGAGAAAAATAATGTACGGGTTTAATTATATATACCTAATGGTTTATGATTATAAATATTCTTCAATTTTTACTATCAAACGCGTATATATTTTAGTATAATATTAATATACATATTTTGATCATCTTTCCCAAAGAAGGTTGATGTCAGTCAGGCGGCCGGTCGTATTAACAATTAGCCAAAAGTATTTACAACATGTAAGGCAGACCCTGGCTAAAGATGGGAAATTGCCAGGTAGAAGATGTACTTTGATGTACTTTGATCATCTGTCAGCAGCTTTGTTCTCACATCATATTATAAAACCTCTGGACACGTTGTAAGTGTGTATGTCACACGATAAGGCAGGGCTCACCCTCCACTTTAAAGTAACACGTATAATAAGTCAGATTACAGATATCACCGCACTCCTTTAAACTGTTATCGGATCAGACTCAGCCTTTGTCATTCTAATTTTTGACCATTTATGGCAGCCGGAGATTTAATCGAGATTATTGTGAATTTTACGCTCGATTTACATAATTCAAACGTTCAAAGATAACTTCGGATGTATAATTGAAAACGATATCCGCAAAAGAATAAACGAGCCAGCATATTAATTAAAACTTTAGAAAGTCTAAATTAAAAAAATCCTGCAGCACGCCTATCAAGATCTCTGGCGTTTCATTAAGTTTGTAAAAAAAAAAAGAAATGTCAACGGAAAAAGGAAGAGCACAGATTAAATTTTAGAGGCACTTTTTCTAAATTAATTAATAAGGGAGGTGACGGCGAGAAAAAAATGAAATGTCAAAATTACAACAAGATTCGCCTTAATTATGTCCGTGGGGGGTGTAGCGGGGGGTGCGGGGGTGCAGGGAGGAGGGTGCGGGGGGGTGTAGCCTCGTGTACTAATTACATTTTCTTAATTTGCAAAGTTTCTCTGTTCCCGGTGTCCGGCCGCTGTACGTGGCCCTCGCGCCCGTTTGTTTCTTCAAATACAAATCTTAATGCTTGTTTGTGGATTGTTGTCATCGGGGACACGAGTCATGGAAACGGATTTGTTTGATATAAATATTATTGATATACACTTTATTATAATTATTATTAAATATTGAATCTAAGTATTTCTACATCAGTATTAAGTTCAACTAAATATATATATATATTTTGAGAGGCTATAAATTATGTTATTGTTATTACAATGGGAAGTTTTAAATGTAATAAAGCATTTTTGTAGTCCAAGTCATAATAGTCGTTACATTCAATGTAGCCGGTTATAAAGTTACATCTAAAGGGTGCATTTTTATAAGAGCTTCGGAGGGGCAAGTTGGAGATAATTAAGTTTATCGCTTTAATATCTTCTTGTCTTTAGAATTTTTTTGCTAATGAGTTTTTTTAATAACGCCAAATTTGTAGCCGCTCTAATCCTTTTATGATTTATGGCGGATAAGGACCTTCCACGTTTTAATTTATCCGTCAAATGAAAAAATAATCTTCTATATATAAAACATCTCCCATTAAATATAGAGTAGACTCGCGGCCATCAAAACTTCATTTAGGACGACCCTCTGTATTTTTTGCTTCAATTGATAAGCGATTATTCTCAATTAAAGGCCACTTATATAAAAATTAATATGATTCACAATGAAAACGTCCGTAATAAAGCGGCGTCCATCACACAGTACGTCCAAACAATAGATTCAGCCATCGATCAAGAGTCGCCCGTACAGCCGTGTGCCGTGTGCCGTACATACAGCCAGGCAGCAGTGTCGCTGTCGAATAAAATGTGTTTTTTTATTGTGTATCCATTAGTGCGAGCCATCCATCACGGACACCATTCCAATTTACCTATCGCCCACAAATTCTTCAAAACGACTGATACAGTTAAAAAATACAACACACACACATAGGTACAAAACAAATTCACGTTGTTGTTTTTTGTTATCGTTCCGACCGTCCAATCCGTTATATTTACTGGCTGTAAGTCATGAACTTTATGATTTATATGTACGATCTGTATTTATTATAGACAAGTAACCGAGTTTTATTAAAATGAAGCTCGAGCGGGGCCGGGTGATGTATGTAGTGTATCTAAAGACTCGGATCACATCACAAAGAACAGCATTAGGTCGGATAGAGCCACTGTCGCGATAGCTGTGACAAATTATATGTGCTAATGATCACGCGACGACTCACCACTCACCAGTCACCACTGGAGACAGACACGTAACACGTCACTCATATTTATGTTTACAAATAAAGAAATCCCGTTTTATTGGTTTCCAATAAAAAAGTCATAAAGCGAGTAATAAAGTCCAAGGAGCACAATAAACGATATATTATCATAATCCCGGGAACTATCAATTTATAATAATATTCATTAAAACTCTAAAGCATTATAAACTAATATAACCATAAAGACGTTAGCCAAAAAAAAAAACGCGTCATCCAAAATAATGAATATGAAAACAAAATGGCCGCTAAGACGGCTTTATTGGAAGCTTTACCTCTGGCGAGTTGTAACACTGAAAAATAATAGATATTCACATAATTATCCGGATCCTGGCGGCGAGACAGAGACGGGAACAGCCAGGGTCCTCGGAGAAGACGAGAAGAAATAGACGGAGACGGGTATACGGGGAGAGGACCGTCTTTTAGCACTTAAGTAATTGAACACAGGGGTCCGGGAACACTGGGCCTGGGACCGGGAGTAGGAGCGAGAGTAGAGGAACGAAGGGAATAATAAATATAATATGTTGCTTGTTTGGTTTGATCGTAAATATAATGATGACGGGGAGACCTTGGAACTTGCTGACTTACACGAGCTTAATGCTACTGGAAGAAGTATTACTATCAATAAAACATTTACTGTCTCATACTTACACACATATACATACATATTTATACCTTTAAATGACTTGTCATTAGCGAATTAGTTCCTTCAAATTGAAAGCGAAAAAACTAGTCTCAGTTTTTTTGGAGTAATATTTATATATATGTATATATAATGTCAAAGAATGCTGTAATAATAAAGTGTGTTGAGTTATCAGGTTTATAGCCAATTAAGACGTTAGCCACTTTAGCTACTTGTATTTAAATTGGTCGTAAAACACTCGTGTGTGAGGAAACTGTATTCATTAAACGAACATTGATGGCGAAAATATGAAGTGAATAAAAAATATACTTAAACACTAACGACATATAAATAATAAGTTGACTATGATGATAGTAATATAATAAAAGTAAGGACGGATATAATCCCTGTTTGGGGACGAAACGATGCAACATCAAGCGGGTCGGCATCACAACAAATGGGAGAGGTTAACACATCGGTTACTGAAGAGAGACGCGTTACGACTTAATATATTATATACTTACAAAATATATATTTGATAAGCTTCATATTAAAAATATAATATATGTAATAATGTATTGTTGCCATATCAAACCGCTCGGAAGTTAAAATGTTTGTTGTTTCCGCGTCTTTTTATGTTCTCAATATAGTTTATGTTTTATTGCTCCAGTCACAATCTGAGCGTTTCCTATAGCGTACTACTGAGTTACATCAAAATTTTATCATAATATTAAATATTGACATACAGAGAATTATATTTGTCAGTATAATGTAACTTAATATTGTTGTACTTAGTAATGAGAGTGTTCGGTGTGATTGTTTCCTAGTCTCTCCACCCTCGCAGCAGACGTCGTTAACACGTTTGGGTCTTGTTCCTCAGTTGTTAACGTCTTCTGATACAAATAACGTCGACTGAATGTCGCTGGGAACATTATACATTCATGCCATACTGTTGTTATACCCGATATTAACCTTCCACTATCGATGTTACCAAGCAATTGTGGCTGCCTAATATATTGTAATGTTCATTAAGAAAACAACTCGTTAAGATTATACATATAATACCCCTCAATATTGAATCAATCTGAGACATTCAAGTTGTATTCATTTAGTTCTCGAAGTTGTTATAAAAATAATGTGCGAGATAGCAAAGAACGTAAATGTTTAACGATCAACGACTGTGGGACGGTTTATAACAAGTTCAGTGGAGGTTGGGCCAGCCTGGGACAAGTTTGGGCCAGACTGGGGGGAGCTGGGCCAGGCTGGAGTCGGGATCGACTAACTAATCATGAAAATGTATTTATGACCTAATTAAACTCCTGTCTGCTAGCGGGACTGTGCGACAGGGAGGGCAGTAGACGATCTGGCTGTGAGGGAGCGAGACGGCCGCACCCCGCCGCGGTGATTAATGACTGTTATATGGCTGCTTAAGTACCATGTAATTTGCAAAACGACCCTTAATTACCGTAGAACATGGCTTCTACAGCCGTCTCTATCGACCGCAACGAGATCGCACAAGAAAGAACGAGACGGGGCATCTCCCGTGCGGAAGGCGGTATTTAATGAGGCATTATGATGTCGCCCGTACAGATTAGGTTCACATGGCGTCGGCGTTGTTGACCCGCTCTTTATATTTGGCTTTCAGGAGGCAAACACGGGGTTTAGTGGCTCGTTTCCAAGTGTACAACCAGCGCTGCGGCCCAGCTGAGCGCCCTGTGTTTGACTTTCGGCCAAATTACGACTAGATGATTCTAAAATTTTGCCGGAAAGCTAATTCTCCACTTAGAACGAGCTAATAAACCAAAACTTACACACGGAATATTAACCCAGTGGACCTTTTTGTGTTGAACTTATAAATAATGTATTACGAGACGGGTCTGTATGTTTTAGTAATGTGAGCACTCGTTCCAGGTGTGGTTCCAGAACAGAAGAACCAAGTGGAGGAAAAAGCACGCGGCGGAGATGGCCACCGCGAAACGCAAGCAGGAGGAGCTGGGCGAGGAGTGTGACGACCCTGAACACGAGCCCGAGCCCTGCAGCGATGATGATGACGCCAAGCGGCCACGGCTGGACCCTTACAGACAGTGATCCCACCAGCCCCGTGGCGAGCGAGCCACGGACCAGCTAATGCTGGACACCGACCCCTGCCGAGGAGCCAGTTCCGCGAGTGACTCCTATCAGAACTATTATAATCATAGAGAGGACGCGCCCTTCGACCTCTCTCCCTGGCAGAGGCGGCACGTGGACGACCACCGGAACAGGGTCCCGCACAGTGAGGTGAACGTTCATGATGATGGTGACGACCAGCCCATTAACTTTGCGTATTATCACTTCTAGCGGACTCGGGACGCGTGAGTTCCATAGTTGTATTGTAAATATAACTTAGATATATGTGATGTGATGTCAGACTATTTATTTGTAATAGTTTTTACATTCTGATGCTGTAGAGATTAATTTATGTACATTTCGATGTTAAGATTGTCGGTGCCAATGTATGAGGAGGTCTGAGACGTTCGTGCGGGGGCGTTTCATTCTGACACTCTATATATATATGTAAAGTTATATAAGTCGTTAATTGAATATTGTAAATTGAAGTCCTGAAGTATCGATGCAATAATGACTATTATATGTAAGCTTATTCATTGATATCTTTTGCTTTCATCAAGTTATGCTTGTGGGAGACGCGAGTGGACGTCTCCTCCAGTTCTTTGTAAATATATTTGGAAGCGTCTTTTTGCAATATGTATTGTATATTGTATAGAGTAATATTATATTGTAAATAGACATTTAAACGAATTTATTGTAATGTAACTGTAGCTGTCACGCAACAAGTCACTACTGAGTAAGGTAAGCGGCGGCCTAGTGTTCATTAACACGTTGGTGGGTTTTTGTTCATAAACATTTGTTTTGCGAAACTTATCTGATAAGCTGTAGATAACGCTAACACTACTCTATTAAAGTAACCAAACTTAAAACCTCATTATGTGTGGAGCGACACTGGAGGTGCATAATATAAGGATAAATAAAATAACTTATGTTTTCAATAATATACTTACTTTAATTTCTTTAATGGAGCTAATTAGTAAATATGAAGCAGAATTGTTTTATTTCTGCATACAAATTCACAAAATTATATACATGTTGATCAAAAGTTTAACCACTTAAATGATGAACGTCTTATTATTTCAATAAGTTGGTTTTTGTACCCATGTTCGTAGTTTTCCCAGTGTTTATTGAGATCGTTTTCCAAGTTGATTCTTTTATCTCATACCTCATGTGACGGTGAGTGAGGCAGCTCTGCTTCACATGTTTCAATATGAACTTGCTCGTGGAGGTCAAGCGTCATCTGTTTGAAATAAACTATTAGTAAAACAAACAAGGATTTTATTTACCCACAATTACTATAATAACGATGACTATAATTAATAACTCAGTAAATGTAACCGATAATATCATCGCACTTGCAAAACATGGAACTGTATATATTTTGATAATGTTAATTTCGATAGTCACGGAACGCCTTTAAAGTCTTTTTAACCTGAAACAAGAAATCAAGTATTTGATTACATTTAGATTCAATTTCTATAATAACAGTTTTACAGTACACAATTATTAATTCTAAGATTACATTTCTAATAGACAAGTTACTTTTTCCACCAGATTTTATAAGTCATTTAAATAATTATCACAAGAAGATGATGTTGATATGTAATAAAACAGCTCGTATATAAGTACTGCTAAGGTTCACATTACATATATACACAATGATAACACAGTGTCTGTCTCTCAGAGAGCATTCCAAACACTACTTTTATATATTCCAACAACTTCCTATCTGTGAAGGGATGGCACGGATGTTTGTTTAGTTTAAATATTGTAATATTTATATGAAAACCATGTTTCTATTATTTTGGTTAGGTATATATAAATAATATGGTAAGACGATGATAACAGCTTCACATAATATATATGTTTATTGTTAGGTATGAAGAAAATTAATGTAAATTTTGGTTCCTACAAATATTTAGTTTCCAATCGTCTTCATTATATGTTATACAATTAGTAATTAAAGAGAAAAACTAGTTTTCCAGCGTATATGTTATAAAATCAGTACATGTATATTGATATCAATTATTATAGTTTATACGAATCTTAAAATATCTGTTGTTTAATATGTTGTTTTAACAATATCGGTATGTTGTAAGTTGTAGATGAGCAGTGAGTACATAGGGCGTGTAAGTCAAACACACATTTATCTCTAAGGGAGCTATAACTCTGGCGGTGACAACCCTTAAAGTATATAACAGCCACTTTCCACTGCAAGTGATCAGAAAAACCTTGGAAGCAATCGAAGGAGGCGGCGGGCAGAGATCGCGACGCGACCCCCGTCGCCATGGAGACCAGCCCGGAGACCACCCCCGGGGCGAGAAAAACACGACCTTCATGACATACAAATAAGATTCATTATTATGATTCCGTGGGACCGTCGAGTATTCGGAGCCGGCCGCGATGTGGCTTGTACTTATAAATGTAAAACCGAGTTTTACCGTTCCATGTCGGAGGAGGATGAGGGATTTTTTGGTGTAGCGTGAGAGAGGGACGGGTGTAGGGGTGGCGCGGGGGTCGCGGGGTCACGGGGGAGGGGGCCGCGGGGCGAGGGGAGGGTAGGGGAGGAGGGTATTCTTTCATTTGTTGCGGCGCTGTCGGTGCGATAAGGTGCGTCTGCGTTTTATTTATGAGACCATTTTAAACTGGGGGTAAGTATGTTAGGCAATTTGGTCGAGTGTGATTTCTTACCACCGTGGGATTTGAGGATTTACGTTGGAACGAGGTCAATGTGTGTAACACGTATTACGACGAGGGTACGGCGCCTCTTACAACCACGGCTAATAAATATATAACATATAGAAATAGATAGCTTAAAAAATATCACTGTATTATGATCAGTTAAACAACTCAATAAGAAAATTCACTTAAGTTACTAATAGGCTTCAAACAACAAAATACATTTAATACAAATTACATAAAAATTAACACATTCATAAAAAATGTATTTTATGACATATTGCTCCTTTAATAGATATTCCTACTAAATCAAAATGTATTGTCTCTATTGTAATATGATTATTATAATTACAAATTGAATCTAGCTTCAGTTATGAAAAGTTTGCTCATTATCAATATTGAATTAAACAAGATATTCACTTTAAAACTATTAATTGTATCAGACACAGCGAGGTGGTCGTGCCCGCTCTAATAATATAATGATATGTATCATAATAAAACCCACAGTTTGCTATAAAGTTTGTTCTGGTTCCTTCACCCGTGAGTTTTGGCCACACAGGAGACGTGGTGTCATTCGGGTCGGTCAGCTAACGGTCATAAATACTGAGCACATGAACACAGATTATAATAAATCATTCGTTTGATTTATTAATGTATTAATGTATATATAAAACACGACTTTATAACGGTGACTACCTGCCTCACGTACGATTGAAGGAATTATTGGAAATATACATACACTTATATACAACGAAGGATCATTAGATGTGGAGGAGATAATAATATGTGTGTGTTCTGTTTACAAACTTAAGAATACTAATTAATATCTAATTCTTAATCATTTACGTAGATAGACACACGAAGACGAAACACACACACACACACACGAGTACATACATCAATCGGAATTCGGATATTTTAGATTTCAATTAATTATGCATTAATATGTAAAATAAATTTAATCTATTTCATTTAGGCATCATTCATGATTAGTTTTTTTTCATTATATAATATGATTAGTACTCGCAAATGTATTGTATTGTGTAGGAATGTTGTAGGTCGTGATGCATCACTCTACAGTCTACAGAGACACAGAATGTTAGAGAGAACATTAAACACAATAGTAAATGTCACCGGATCAAATAGTTTTAGTGTCGGCCGATAAATAAAGAGATCAATAAAGTTGAAACAAAGAATCGTAAAAGACGTGTGTGATGAAACACAAGCAGGGACATTGAACAAGCGGGGACTACACGACACAGGGCAACACTTGGCATATACATATAACCTTAATCATCTCATTAATGTAACAGTGTATTAAAGTATAACCAAAAGAGATTTTGTCTCTTTGATTATTATTACATACACACCTACATACACACACCTGTATATTAAACAAGGAGAATGTAACGGAATTCAATTAATACTTATTATTCGCCAATAAACAATTAAAATATTCTCATTTATATTATTTTCAAATTAAACATATGTGAAACACAATGATTTACTCGTCTGATACATCACAACTTACAAGTACTTTTATTGATAAGATTCTTCATCTTAAAGGAATTTTCGGAATACAAAATATACAAAAATAAAAACTGTCATTGAGAATATTGTATGTTGCATATCAGAGTAGGAAGCGGGGCGGCGACACACCGTTTGATTGACTGTGAACTGATGCTTCAATTCAAATAAGTAATTATAATATGAAAGAAGTAAATAACAATATGGAAATATACACATGTACATATATACTTACTACATATCAAACTAAAACTCTTTTAATAAATATTTTAAATACGTTCTACACTTACTACGGCTTAGACAATCTAACTACTTTTAAACATATGTACCTACTCAAATGAGTTCAGCTAGGTATGTTTGTAAAATAAACCGGTAAATAGATAATATTAATGATGTTCTTATTAATATGTAAGAGCAGGTGACTCCGAGGAAACAACAGCCAGCTATAAATCATTATAATTGTTGTAACTATTTTATTAGTTAGGTACTTCAATTAAATAACTGGTCTACAGTCGTCATGCGGACTGGTCTCACACTCACTGTCAACACGTCAATATACATATGTATGTATGTAAAATATCATTCACATAAAGTAGTATTTACAGTTACCTTGAAAAACAACTGAAAACTATTGAAAAATCTACATAATATGATCCACTATTTTGTTTTTAAATCTTACATTAGTGTACAGTGAAGAGACTTCTTTCGTGAATGATAAGACTGAACTAAAGAACTACTTGTTGCATTTAATTTATATATTTATCATAGTATAGTAACAATACTTCCACAGAGTATTTATTTTATTAAACACAGTATGAACACAGTAAACATATATTAATTACTCTAACCAAACGCGTCACCTCTCACATTCGCTTCGTCCGAACAGGTCGGATTATGTTTGATTGATGTGTTAATATCACTTAGAAGATAATTTTAATTACTTCTTCTATTTTTATTGGCTCGTGTAAACGAATATAAAAACAATCATTAACGTTCTCCTGTAAATGATATCGTTTTATGACACTCTTGACAGTGAATTGATTAAACAAGATTTTTTTACATAGTTCTAAATAATTTAAACAGTAGAAACTAAATAAACTTAATTCACATTTAGGTACCTGTTTCAGTGGACACTTTATATGTATTATATTATATATATAAAACATTAATTAGTTGTATAATTAACTATCGATAATAAAACACAATTGATAGCAGTCATAGAACCCCGTGGAATGTTCTGGAGCGAGCAGCAATACAGACTGAACTGTCCAAAAAAAGTTAGAATAGAAGACGGCGAGAGCACCGAGTGCTATAAAACATTGATAATAATTCGTGTTAAAACTCGCCGGAGACGATAAAGCTCCGCTCGGCCGCATTAAAACATTTTAAAATGTTATAAATAAGGCTGTTTAACGACTGGGACATGATCCACTATTAATCACGACTTCACTTTAATACCACTTTTTATGAAATGTAAATGAGTGAGGTGCATGGTAGAGGCGAGCGGGAACAACTAGACGCACTCTGCTTATAGTGAGTATCCAGATAGTTCATTATTAATATTAATTATAAAGTAATGTATTATTAACAATAAGTACAGTCTAGTATTATGACATATACCTGATTGTCCCAATTTAAAACATTTTAAATAACCACACATTATTTTATGACCCATTAAAGTAGTAGGTAAGTAAGAGTACATTCTGTTTTTGTTTTTAAACAATCGTATGATATAAAAAGCTCTCTCATTTTGTTAACAGAGTAAAATAATTTTATATTCCACTAATTAATTATTCGTCATTGTACCTACACTATTGTTTCCTTTATACAATTAAATAAAAATATAAGTATGTAATTCCATTGAAATAACAAGTACCTAAGACAAGCCAATTTAATTGCATGTATATAATATAATTTAATGAGTCGAATCAGATTTTATACAACATTAAAAGCCGAGTATAAAAACTGGTGACCATCAAAAGGGAAGCAATAATCCCTGTTACGATAGGAGCCGACCACAGACGGACTTAACGATACACAAAACATCATATAAATAAATCGGACGTTATTTATGTCGCCGGACGACACGGACTTTATGACGGACGACCAACTGATAGACGGACTCCGAGATGTGAAGGATCGAGTGTCGGAATGTCAACTATTGAATGATTATAAAACTTGGTCATTCTAATGAAATTTATTTTTATATGTACTTACAAGAGACAGGCGGCCGGAGCTGGTTTGATGAAGACGAGCCAGTGCTTAATGTTATTGCTAACGAAGAGTTCTCTGCTAGGATCAAGACTAACTGGCTATAAAACAGGAGGCCTGCTGAGGCTGTACCCTACAAAGAAAAACATATTAAATATAAACAAGCAACTGTCATCTCTCTGCCCCACAGCATACGAGCCGTTATTGTATGTACGTATTGTTATTATGGCACTTATAAAAATTGTTTTAATTTTTTAATGAGTTAATTTTATTATTTAAAGTGTATTCTGTATTTAGAGTTACGATGTACTTACAAATGTTTAGTATTTCTATCAATTATAACATCTACAACAGACGAGACTTTCATATAATAGGGGAGAGTCGGATATATCGTACCACTTTTCACTTTAACTCAAATATTTCGACTATAACACGTCTTATAATAATTAATACATTTGTAAAATAAAGTTTCATATTTTAGCTTCCTAAGAAGAAGAGAACAGATCCTTGCGATTATTCTAACATTGTTAAAAATGCTTTTTTAGAGAGGCTTGCCATCGGTACGATTTAGCCGACTAGTCGTTTTAATCGTACCACTAAGTCTTTAAATCGTACCATGGGTGTTTAAGTCGTACCATTGAATAAAATACATTAAAATTCTCAATCAAATTATTTATTTTTAACTGTTAGGTAAGTAATAAAACAACATTATTTATATCTTTTAGGTAATAGAAACATAATTTTTAACTCTTAGGTTATATAAAGGAACTATAAGCTTTCTCAGTAAAATAACATGATTATACTATGATAATGAGATCAATCAACATAACTAATAAAAATGAGACAAAAAAAAACAGTAAACAATAATAATAAAGTAACAGTTAACAAGAATGTTATTTGTAATATAATTATTGTGCATATTTCTTAATGGAAGCAATCATGACAGAGGTCTGGATTCGAAGGACACGTCTCATGTAGCCACCGTTTACAGCGAACGCATTGAATCCAATCAACTTTTGGACCCTTCTTATCGTAGTAAGAACAATTGTACTTTCGACATATATTTTCAAGATAATCATCGCTGTCATCATCATCATCTAGTTCTACAACAAGTGTCTCTCCTGAATCATCGCTAGTGGTGATGGAATGAGATCGTTTCCTCTTAT